TGCCTCTTTCAGATGTCAACTTTATTCCTATATGTATGACTGACTTGTTTCTAGGGCTTCTCTTATATTCATTGATCTCTCTATTCTGGTGCTAGACCAAAATTTTTTGGTATTGTTTTATGATACGCTTTCATAATTGGTAGTATATAGATCCCATTATTACTTCTTGTTTCACAATTTCTTTTTCCTGTAAATTCTTCTAGATCAAATTTAGAACTTTAGTTGAGTTTTCCCTAAAATACTCCATAGAGATTTTTGTTGGAGTTGTCTTAAAAAGATGTATTAATTTAGGGAGTTAAAGATTTTTGTATTGTTACATTTATTTTATAAGAACAAGAAGAAGATTGATAACAAACAATTATTAGGTGTTTTCTGTGCTGTAGGCACTATGGTCACTGCTTGTATTGTAATTTATCTGTATATATTTTTCTCTAATAGATTTTCAGTGCTTTGGAGGAAGAGATGATATTTTATTCATTTTTTCGGTCGATTCTTGGACTTGTATTTTCTTGGTCATAGTAAGAGCTTGGAGAGTGTAGGTTGATAACTGAAGGTTGCAGATTGAAGTAGAAGTAACAGGTATGAATAATTTCTCTTCATTCTAGGTTTCCTGGGTAGTGAAGAGTTGTTAGTGTAACTAGAGTTGAAAGAGGAAAATAAATTTAAGAGAATAGCCCTGGATGGATGTTTTAGGAATTTGTTTAGTTGAAATTTAAAAGACCATATTGGACTCACCTCAGTTTTTCTTTGTCTTTTTTTTTTTTTTTTTTTTTTAATTTTTGTCAAAGCTATCCAGGTACTTTTTTTTTTTTGAGAGCATTTACTCTGTTGCCCAGGTGGAGTGCACTGGCATGATCTAGCCTCACTGCAACCTCTGCCTCCCGGGCTCAAGCATTTCTCTTGCCTCAGCCTCCCGAGTAGCTGGGACTACAGGCATGCACCACCATGCTTGGCTAATTATTGTATTTTTAGTGGAAACAAGGCTTCACCATGTCGGCCAGGCTCATCTCAAACTCCTGACCTTAGGTGATCCACCGACCTCAGTCTCCCAAAGTGTTGGGATTACAGGCGTGAGCCACCGTGACTGGCCCATGTATATTTTATTTTGTAAATTAATGTCCTAAAGTTCTGATAATTTTTAAAATATCTTTCATTGTTTTCATTCTGCTGTTTTCTGTGTTTTGATTTTAAGAACCTCTATTTTTCAATATTGGAACTGCTAAATGAGTATCCTACTTTTCTTATGATTTCCCTTCTATTTGTCTGTATCTTTGCCTTTTTTTTCCTAAGTATCTGAGATGCTTCATGAGCTTTATTTTTTACTTTTTATTTGTTTTTGAGACAGAGTCTCATTCTGTCACCTAGGCTGGAGTGCAGTGGTGTGATCTTGACTCACTTCAACCTCTGTCTCCCGGTTTCAGTCGATTGTCCTGCCTCACCCTCCCAAGTAGCTGGGACTGCAGGCATGTACCACCACACCTGGCTAATTTTTGTATTTTTGGTAGAGATGGAGTTTCACTATGTTGACCAAGGTTATCTCGAACCCTGATCCCAGGCATCTGCCCACCTCAGCCTTTCAAAGTGCTAGGATTACAGGTGTGAGCCACCGTGCCTGGCCTTATCAGCTTGATTTTTAATTCTTCTACTGATTTTATCTCTGATTTTCTTTTTTATTTCATTGTTCTTACATTCATTATCTTTTCTGATACTGAGATGGTATTAATGATAACTATTTTTGAAATTTCTTCTCCATGCATAGTCCAAATTTTCTCTAGGTTTCTTTTTTTCTATAGTTTGTTCCTAATTTTTTGTTTTTGCTTCTTTAATAGTAAAGGCTTTCCTCAAGTGATTGGATGTCTTTGGTTATTTGTTCATATTTGAGAGTGGAAGTTTTCAAAAACTCATGGGAAGCTCTGAGTTCATAGTGTTAGGACTTGTTGGTTGTAAGCCTTTCAGTGGTGTGCTGGATTGGCTTGTGTCTGCTTGTGAAATGCAGTTGTTAGCATCTCTTCCTATTGCTGAGTTAAGTTGAAGTATTTACATCACAAAAGTTGATGAAGGCTACAAATCAGGGGTCTAGTCCAGAGATCATGCATTTTATCTGTGCCCAAGGATGTCTCCCTTTCTGCTGGGGTGATTGAAGGGCAGCCACTCTGCTGTTCTGAGAATCAAAGGGCAGCCGCTCTGCTGTTCTGAGAATCTAATTGATTTAGATTTTCAACCAATGCTGTAGTATTTAATTCCTTTTTTTTTTCTGAGTATTTAATTCTTTTTATTTCCATTGTATGGATGTATCACAATTTGTCTGTTTACCAGCTAATGGACATTTGGATTGTCTCTGTTTTAGGCTATTACCTATAGAGCTGTTATTAATATTAAATGTACAAATCTTTATATGGACATGTGCTTTCATTTCTCTTGACTAAATACCTAGAATGGAATGATTGGATTATATGGTATTTGTATGTTATTTGTATGGTATGATTTGATGGTATGTATGGTATTTGTACATAACTTTTTAAGAAACTGCCAAATTGTTTCACTAAGTGGTTGTACTATTTTACGTGCCTATTAGCAGTGTGTGTGTGAACTCTGGTTGATCTACATCCTTTTCAATATAGGTTTATGACGTCTTTTTAAACATAACAATTCTGATAGTTATATAGTAGCATCTCATTGTGGTATTTTAAAAAATAAATTCTATCGTGTATATTTGTGGTATACACATGTTATGGGATACATATAGATAGCAAAAAAAAAAAGTTTACTACAGTGAAACAAATGAAAATATCCATCTCTCACAGAGTTACCCTTTATTTTTTGTTTTTGTGGCAAGAGCAGCTAAAATCTACTCATGTAGCTGAAATCCCGTATATAGTACAATTTTAGTACCTGTAGTCTTCACGTTGTACTTTAGAACTCTACAGTTTTTCATCCTACATATCTGCTACTTTGTATCCTTTGACATTTATTTCTCCTGTTCTACTCCCCCTACCAATCTTTTGTTCTCTATCTCTGTATATTTGATTTTTTTTTCAGATCTCATATATTTTCAGGTAATATTTTTCTTTTTGTGTCTGGCTTATTTCACTTAGCATAATGTCTTCCAGGGTCATCCATGTCATAGAAAATGGTTAGATATAATTCTTTTTTAGGGCTGAATAATATTTTGTTGTATATATATATCCCTTAAATTTGGAATCTGGAAGTGTGATGCCTCCAATTTTTTTTTCTTTCTTTTTTTTGTTGGGGGTGGGGTGGTGGCAGGGTCTTGCTCTGTTGCCCAGGCTGGAGTGCAGTGGCATGATTGTGGTTCACTGCAGCCTCGACCTCCCAGGCTGAAGCAGCCCTCCTGCCTCAGCCTCCTGAGTATCTGGGACCACAAGTGTGCACCACCACAACTGACTAATTTTTTTAATTCTTTATTTTTAGCAGACATGGAGTCTCACTATGTTGCCAAGGCTGGTCTCAAAGTAGTGAGCTTAAGTGAACCTCCCTCCTCAGCCTCCCAGAGTGCTAGGATTATAGGCATGAGCCACTGAGCCTGGCCTACAACTTTGTTTTTCTTTCTCAGAATTGTTTTGGCTATTTGGGGTCTCTTATGGTTTCATATGAATTTTAGAAGTTTTTTTCAATTTCTTAAAGAATGCCTTTGGGATTTTGATAGGGATTGCATTTAACCTATATAAGTAAGTCAGATACTTAAAATTTAACGTCTGCAAACTAGGAGTCATTGTTTTCTCTGCATCCTTCGTTGTCCTCCCTGCAGAAGATTTTGCTCTTTTTTTCATTTCACATCTTAGTTAACATTGTAATTTTTTCTAGTCATGTAAGCCTAAAGTCTGAGTCATCTCTAGACTACTGCTTCCAGTTTCCCACCTTCTTCCAATTGATCCATGTGTTTTATTAATTCTTCTTTTAATTAACTGTCAAATAAGCACATTCTATTCATTTTCATTGAGCCACCTTAGTTTAACGCTGCCACGACCCCTTGTTTGGAATAGCCATTCATCCTCTTTTCAGAGATGCCTGTGTGCTCTCTGGTACCTCGATTATCTTACTACTTTGTAATTATTAGTTTGTGTGTCTATCTTTTCCATTACACTATGTTCTTGTAAAGAAGGACCTTGAGTTATGATTTTGTGCTCCCAGTGCCTAGCTCAATATGTGACATACAATTGGTGTACAGTAAATGTTTTGTGAATGTGTGAACTAGTTTATCATTAGATATTATCTTTGATAGTTTTGATATCACTGTGACCATCAGATAAAGCAATTTTTTTTGTTCTATTTTCGGAAAAGTGTCTTTCAGTGCCTTATTTTCCAAAAGTTAAAAAGAGTTTCCTTAATTGTAGTTATCAAAAAAAAAAAAGACTCTTTTATATAATTACATGTTATCTCCAGAATATATTGCATAGTAAAATCAATGATGACTGCAAAATTGTTAGGATCTTCTCATGGTTTACAACAGTCCAAATCTTCCATTTTATTTTCAAGTATGAAATATTGATTACATTTTCTTGGTTGCAATAGAACAGCAAAAAGACTTTATATTCTTCCCACAATGCAAAAATATCTTATAACTTATATAAATCACTGCCACCTCAGAAGGAGTGTGTTAACAGGCATGAGGCAGGTCTCATAAATCTTTATTCTTTGGAATGGAATATAGTAGCTGAATGTTAGTTGCCTCTAATATTTAAGTAATGATAGAAAGTAATAGGGAATTTTTGGATCCAGACTTCAATGCATGACCATGGACACACATTTGTTAATAATTTCTGAAGATATTAACAGTTGCATTCTCTATTAGTTTCCCTTTATCAAGTAAATGAAGTTGATGTTCTGAGGGGAATTCATGGAAAATGGCAATCATTTTCCACATGGCTAAAATTTTTATCTGCAACTTGCTGCTGGCTGTGGGGCTACCAGGCTTCTTTTTGTTTTTCAAGGCAAGATCCTGCTTCACTGTTAACTCTGCGCTTGTGCTTTATTTGCAGCATCTGGCGAGGCCCCAATGTGAACTGCACAGACAGTTCGGGTTACACTGCTTTACACCATGCAGCCTTAAATGGACATAAGTAAGTGCCACTTATTTGGACGGAATCGTGTGTATTTAGTTATATGTGATGAAGTTAATTATGTGTGACAATACCTTTCTCATGTTTCCATGAGTCCAATGGGCTTAGATGAATTTGGAAAGGGACCAGGTGACAATACTGACAAGTCAGACTTGGTAGAAATGTTGCTGAGTATAATTGTGTGCAGAGTGTAAGCTGAAAGAAATGCTGTAAAATACTCAACTGTCACACTGGGAGAATGGAAAAATTGACAGGACCATGCCAGTCATGTGTAGCTTTGGGGAGAGAATGGGATAAAACCACTTGATAACACCCCTCTACCTTTTTTGGTGTCTCCTTGTATTCACCCAACATGGGAGTTTACTAGGAGTGCAATCTTAGCAGACTCCCACTATTCTGAGCCTTAGTCACTTATATGAACCACTTCAAAATCCTTATTTAGCTAAAATGTTTTATCTTTGTCATTCACGATTATCTTTCTAGTTTTAGATTTCGCAACCCTAAATTTTTTTAATGTGTAAAACTATGTTTCAAATAATGTAATACTATACATTATGGAGAGTGAAAGAATGTGTAGTCATAACAACCTCTATTTCCAGTATTTTAGCTAGGTATCCTAATGGTTTAGTGACAGAGTTAAAGTGTGATGAGTCCTCCAAATGATTCATATGTTCTGTCCTCCCCTACAGAAGAAAAATGACCCTATTCCTCTGTCTCCCCCTCGTCTCTGTTTTCCCTTTGTGTGAATGACCAAGTTAGTTTTCCCAGATCTGTATCATTTCATTTCATTTTTTTTTTTTTTTTTTTTTTTTTTGAGACAGAGTCTCACTCCGTTGCCCAGGCTGCAGTGCAGTGTCATGATCTTGGCTCACTGCAACCTCCGCCTCCTGGGTTCAAGTGATTCTCCTGCCTCAACCTCCTGAGTAGCTGGGATTACAGGTGCCCACCACCACACCTGGCCAAGTTTTGAATTTTTAGTAGATATGGGGTTTTACCGTGTTGGTCAGGCTGGTCTAGAACTCCTGACCTCGTGATCCACCTGCCTTGGCCTCCCAAAGTGACGGTTGTGAGCTACCGTGCTTGGCCCTCACTTTAGTTTTTAGATGTGGTAATTACTGCTTTAAAAATACTAGTTACAATCTGCAGATTCCGTACTATTCCTATCAAATTACCAATGTCACTTTTCACAGAACTAGGAAGAAACTATTCTAAAATTCATTTTGAATTAAAAAAAGAGCTCAAATGCCAAAGCAATCCTAAGCAAAAAGAACAAAGCCAGAGGCATCATGATAGCAGATTTCAAACTATTCCATAAGGCTACAGTAACTAAAACAGCATGGTAGTGGGATGAAAACAGATACATAGACCAACGAACAGGTTAGAGAACCCAGAAATAAAACCGTATACCTATAGCCATCTGGTCTTCAACAAAATCGATAAAAAATAAGCAATGGAGAAAGGACTCCCTTTTCAATAAATAGTGCTAGGATAACTGGCTAACCATATGCAGAGGAATGGAACTGAACCCTTGCCTTTCACCATATACAAAAATTAACTCAAGGTGGATTAAAGATTTAAAGGTAAGATCTCAAACTTAAGAATCTTAGAGGAAAACCTTGGAAACACCATTCTGGATATAGGACTGGACAAAGATTTCATGATAGAGACTTCAAAAGCAATTGCAACAAAAAAAAAATTTGAAGCCAGGTGTGGTGGCTCACGCCTGTAATCCCAGCATTTTGGGAGGCCGAAGCAGGCGGATAGCTTGAGGCCAGAAGTTCGAGACCAGCCTTACCATCGTGGCAAAACCCTGTCTCTATTAGAATTACAAAAATTAGCTGGGCTTGGTGGTATGTGCCTGTAGTCCCAGCTACTCGGGAGGCTGAGGCAGGATAATTGCTTGAACCCTGGAGGCAGAGGTTGCAGTGAGCAGAGATCGCACCACTGCACTCCAGCCTGGGCGACAGAGTGAGATTCTGTCTCAAAAATAAATAAATAAATAAATAAATAAATAAATAAGACGAGTAGGACCTAATTTCATTAAACTAAAGAGCTGCACAGCAAGAGAAACTATCAACAGAGTAAACAAACTGTAGAATGGGAGAAAATATTCATAAACTATGCATCTACCAAAGGCTGAATATTCAGGATCTATAAGGAATTTAAAAAAATTCAACAAGCAAAAGCCAAATAATCCCATTAAAAAGTACTCAGAAGACATGGACACTTCTTACAAGAACATATACAAGTGGCCAACAAGTGTATGAAAAAAATGCTCAACATCACTAATTGCCAGAGAAATGCCAATCAGAACCACAGAGAAACGATTTCACACCAGTCAGAATAGCTATTATTAAAAAGTCAAAAAATGACAACTGTTGGCATCTTTTGTAGAGTAAAGAGAGTGCTTATTTACTGTTGGTGGGAATGTAAAACTTAGTTCAGTCTCTGGACAGCAGTTTGGAGATTTCTTAAAGAACTTAAAACAGAACTACCATTCAACCCAGTATTCCCATTACAGGGTATAAATCCAAAAGAAAATAAATTGTTCTATCACAAAGACACATGCACCTGCATGCTCATTGCAGCACTATTCACAATAGCAAAGACATGGAATCAATTGAAGTACCCATCAGTGGTGGATTAGATAAAGAAAATGCAGTACATATACACCATGGAATACTGTGCAGCCATGAAAAGAATGAAATTGTATCCTTTGCAACAACATGGATGCAGCTGGAAGCTATTATTCTAAGTGAATTAATGGAGGAACAGGAAATCAAATACTACATGTTCTCACTTACAAGTGGGAATGTAACACTGGCTACTTGTGGAAATGAAGATGGCAACGATAGAAACTGGAGAGCATTAGAGGAGGTAGGGAGGGTTGAAAAACTATTGGGTACTATCCTCAGTATCAGGGTGATGGGATAAATTGTATCCCAAACCTCAGCATCATACAATATACCCAGGTATCCCCTGAATCTAAAATAAAAGTTGCACATATCTAAAATAAAAGTTGAAATTATTTTTTAAAAAGTAAATGCTAGTTACTTTTTGTTTTTTCACCTAACATTTCTCTTTTTCTGTGAATGGAGATTCAAGGGTCTTCTTCATACTTAATCTTAGGCTTGGTGGTCATAAAGCTCTTACTGCAAGAAATTTATTTTTTTGGCATTATTGATCACTATGACATTTTCCTCTTAAAATGTATAAATTCAATGCTATCAGTCTGTTTAGAGAATCACCTGAGTTACACAAACTATTATAAACTTTATGTTTCATTATTTAAATTTTTAGTATTGGAATTCCCAAATTATATTTATTTTTATTCAGTTCCTATTCTATATTGTCTTATATCATCTCATTTAGAACTATTTTGCCAGATCTTTTTTTTCTGTTCCTTTATAGAATGGAAAGTATGTCCAGATATCTAAATATTTTAATGGAGGATATTGTTATTTATTCTTTTTTTACCTGAGTCATCAGGAACAAAGACAAATCAGCCCAAGTAATATAATCCTGATGGCTTCTTGGCTATCTGAATTATGGATTCAGGCTACTATTAAATTTTTTAGTTCCAATTGGGAAGATAAATTCTATTACATCTAATGGGCAGGATGTATCGGGCCTGACCTTTCATTTGAGGCATACTGCTTTTCTTGTTCTTCTCAGATTGGCATTGGTAAGTAAGCACTTCTCAAAATAATATTGTCCCAAAATGGATTAGCATTCATATCCCTCCTGGATTTTCAGTGAAGTATTTAATAAATACTGATTTATACGTGATAGTCTATGAAGTTCTAACTGTTGAGATATGTTTTTTTCTGTGACCCATGACATAAGTTTTGTTTTTTTTGGCAATTTAGAAAGTGAAGATAATTTAAGCAAATTGAATAGCAATCATTAAGAGTCTCACAAACAGATAACTTGATTAGGTATCTTTTAAGATCCCTTTAATTACAGATAGTCTATGGGAATTATATATCTGTGCTTTTATCTGAAAGGTCTCATTTATCTTTTCTTTTTAATTCTAGTAAGATTTCACTCGGTGTCATCCTATAGGCATTGGAAAAAGCAGAAAAATTCTAACCCCATCTCCCCAACTCTGCTAGTTGTGTGATCTTGAACCATTTATGTAACATCTCTAGGCCTCAGTTCAATAGCTTGAATAGATTAGCTCGATGTTCTCCATTGTTCCTTACAATTATAACATTGAATGATACACTGTGTTGGTATTATTTATGGCTCAGTTATGCACTATGATGCTACAGTTCTGAAATTGGGATTTTCATATACAGTATATGTTTCCTGATTTTGCATGTTTAAATTATCTATGAACTTGTGCAATTAGAGATCACTTATTCTACCTGACACCTCTCACCTCCCTCATTTTATAGATGGAGAAACAATGCCCGTTTAGATAAGTGACTTAATGGCCACGTAGATATTAAAGTGGGGTTCTGTCTAGAGCTTAAGTGTTCTGGTTCTGAGTCTATGCTTTTACCAGTTCTCTGCATTATCTCCCCTTTGTTGTTAAACTCTCCCTGGCTCTTCTCTGTCACATTATATATTTCTGGCCTGCCTCCCATAATCATTTGTCGTATGTTTACATGGAATGCTAATTTTAATATTGGTTTAAAAGATATTTGAAGGAGAAAATAGTGTCACAGAATGTATCTCAGAACCAGAGAAGAAGGGTGTTTCTTTTATTTGCGTTCTCACTTAGCAGAGGTAAGTGACAATGATTATATTGTATTCTTCCCAAGCAAGCCTTAGCAGTCTGCACAGAAACACATCATTTCCACGTTTGTTGCTATTGTTGTATCCATCTGCTATAGACTGTTTCCATAAACATGATTGGTAGGCTAAAGTTCATAGAATCATAGAGCCAGCATAATGTTTCAGGGTCATATAGTTTATTCTTTTGCTTTGAGCCCCAACTGTCCCCCTACCCCCAACATATAATCTAAAGCCTTCATACTGAAAATTAAACCAGT